ACCCCCGGGAGAAGCGGGAGTGGGGGGGGGGACCGAGGGCTGGGGGCTGTGGCGGAGCCAGGCCGGGCCCGCACGCTCCCGCAAACCCCCGTGGGCCCCCTCTTCTTTCCCGCTGAGCCCGTCGCTGCCCCCCCCGACGGACAAAGTGCCTCTGCCCGCACCTCTGCCCGCACCGCCCCGCGCCGCTCCGCCGGGCAGGCTGGCAGGGCGGGGGTCCCGCCGCGCTGCCCGCAAATCTGCAGAGGTGTTGGGTAAAACTGTCCCCTGCCTGTGACCGGCTACCCCGAGAGCCCCCCTCGAAAGGGGGACATTGCGTCCAGCCTGCTCACCCTGCAGGTCCTTGCACCCCCTCCCCGCCGTGTCCCTGCTGTCCCCGGCACCCTACAGTGTCCCCACTGTCCCCAGAACCGTATCCCCACTCTCCTTGCACCCCGCACCACCACCCTTGCACCGCGTCCCCACTGTCCCCAGCCTCATTCAGTGTCCCTGGGGCCCGCAGCACCGTGTCCCCACTGTCCCCGCCACCCTGCAATGTCCCCCACTGTCCTCGCACCGTGTCCCCACCGTTCCCAGCACCCAGCAGCGTCCCCGTTGTCCCGATACATCCCGTGTCTGACCCTGCTCCCGGGGGTGAAGGGGAGCAGCCGCTGGGCACCCCGGGGGTGCACCCCCCGGCACGGCTCTGCGGGGCAGGGCAGGGGGGGCTGCCGGGCGCCGGCAGGATGCGGCGTCGGGGGGACGGATCCTGCCGGGCGGGGGCTGCTCGCTGGCCCCGGTCCCACGGGAAACCCACGATCCCTTCCTCCACGCGTGCAGCGATGCGCCGGGATGCCGGGCACACGGGGTTGGCGGCGCCCACCATCCCCCTGCCCTGCCGGCCGCCCCCGGTGCTGCCCCCGCCTCTGCCTCTGAAGGCAACCCCGCCGCTCACGGCGCCGGCGCCCCCGGCCCGGAGACCCCGAGCCGCTTCCCGGCCGAAGCCGGCCGTGCTCACCGGAGACAGCCGGAGCGGCTCAGCCCTTCCCGACAGGGAGGGCTGAGGGGGCGGGGGTCCGCCATCCCCGCCTGGCCGCAGCCGTCAGTGCCGCCGGCCGAGCCCGGGGGACCCGGGAGGCCCCAGGAACCGCCTGCGCGGAGCAGAGCCCGCCCGGGCTTCCCGGCCAAGTCCCGGCGCAGAGGAGGCGCCGAGCAACGGGGATCCAGCCCCGGCCCTGCCCAGGCAGGGGGGGGATGCTCTGCCCGGGAAGGGACCCCCGGGGACGGTGGTACCCGCAGTGCTCAGAGCCTCAGGGCATCCCCGGTGGGACCGCGGGAGCGGGGCACCGGGCACGGGCACTGCCGAACCACTGTGCCAGCACGGCAGGTGTGAGCGGGCTGGGCCCCGTGTGCCTCCCCCGGCAGCTCTGGCGAGAGCCCGCCGGGAGGTTTGATGAGGTGCACATGGTGCCGGAGCCACGCAGGAAAGGAGCTGCAGGGAAGGAGCGAAGCACCACAGGGATAAAGGGGTGGGGAGGGGCTGGCAGCCCGGTGGGGTGCCCAGGGTGGGAGGTGGGGGTCTGGGTTGGGGTGCCCAGGGGCCATCGTCCAAGTGAGGGGCAATGTTTCTTGGTCCTGCCGCTCTCTTTCCCCCAAGCAGGATCCTCCAAAAAGCCACGATGCTGCTGCTGGCATAGCCGTCAGCCTCCCATGAGCTTATTTTCCACCCAAAAAGGACTTTCCCTGCCTGACTTTTACTTCTTTTATTGGGATTTTCTACAGCCTCCAGCCACAGGGCTGGGCCGAGAGGGTGGGACGGAGCGGGCTGGGCTCGGGCCACTGGCACCCTTTGGTGGCAGCTCTGTGTTTACTCAGCTGGAGCAGGCAGGGGAGCAGAGCTGGCATCTTGGCGTGCCGGTCCCATCCCCATTCCCGTTTTCATCCCTGTCCCCTCCTACGGGTCCCCATGGTGCTGTCCCAGAGCCCTCTGCAGCCAGTGGCACTTGCAACCAGCCCAGGGTCCCTGGATCCCCTTGCCCAGGGGCCATGGAGGCAGCACAGGACTTGGGGGGGTGCTAGAAGCCATCTGGCCCCAAGCACAGCTTTGTGTTCCTCCCGGGTGAGAGCAGCCCTCTCGGGACAGGCCAGTGCCAAGTGGGGCTCTGCTTGGCTGTGGGTAGAGTGGGACGGGGCCCTTCAGCCCTGCCAACACCCATGGGTGCTCCTGCTGGATGGGGTCCCCTGGCCCTGCATCACCCAGGAACGCTGCTGAGGGATGGTGTGCTCCGTCCTGGCAGCACCTGGGATGTTCCTTCCCCATCACTGGCTGAGAGCAGGGGACGGCTGGGACCGGGCTGGCGCTGGCTCGGGGCCCGGACGCCTGGCGCGCAGGATGATGCTTTGTTACATGCCTGTGTCTCGGAGCTGGATGGTGGGAAGGGTTTTGCTGGGAGCTGAGGCATCTCCCGCATCCTGCTGAGGGCTCTGGAAAGGGCCCAGGGGGGGAGGCTGCCCTTGCTGGCGTGACTCAGCCCCCACGTGATGGGACTTTCTAGGTTTGCTGAAGACCTGGCACCTCTCTGCGCCCTCCTGGCTGGGGTGCTGGGCACAGCGCCCGGCTCCGGGGCAGGAGAGGCCAGCGGGGCTGGCCCCACTCCCGGCTCCCCAGGGCCAAGGCACACAGCTCGGCCGGCTCCGGCGCTCTGATTCAGCCTCGCTCAGCACTTCCAGGGATGTTATGAATTTCCCCATGCAGCTTGGCTCAGAGTCAAGCCAGCCGCGTCCGGCACTGCCGGCAGCTGCCAGCTCCTGCTGCGGGACAAGCCTTAAAGGCGCCGTAGCCTGTCCCGGCAGGGATTTCCACCGGACGGGGTCCGTGACACCCCCCGGCCCCGGCATCTTGCAGCCAGAGCAGAGGTGGCAGCAGGGCCAAACCCACCACCTCAGCATCGGAGCTGCTTGCACCGCCAGTGCTGGTGCTCCTGGGAGAGTCTGCTGCTCTCCATAGGCATGGAGAAGCCCCCCCCCGGCACCCTTAGTGCCAGGGTAGTCCCCAAAGGGGGTTTCTCCCTTGGAGTGGAAGAGCTGAATCCCAGGGATGCTGGTGCCCAGCACCCGGTGCCGGTGCTGCTGCCTGCCTGGCTGGTGGCCCAAGCTGCCCTGGCATGGGAACCACAGGTTGAGGCTGAGGTTGGGGCTGCCAGCCAAGGCAAATGCTTTGGCAGCCACCAAGCTGGCCACAGGGCTTGTGCCCAAACCACTGGGCAGTGCCACATCCACCCGGCGGTGCCCGGGCGGGTGGCTAAGCACTTGGGTGCACAGGTTGGGTGAGGGATCTCAGGGCTGGGAAAGGGGTCCCTGGGCCAGCCTGGCCCCATCTATCCTTGTCCCTGTCCTCTGTCCACAGTGTGGGGGTGTGGACTCTGCTGGTGGCAGTGTGGGACAGAGCCCTCCTGCATCCCCAGCACTGGCAGGGATGGAGGTGGTGGCTGAGGGGAATGGGGAAGTCACTGTGGTCTGGGGAGGTGCTTTGCAAGGGCTTCCCCAGCTGTCCCAGGCCACTGCTGCCCTGCACCAAGTGCCAGAGCCCCTTTGGCCACCACTGCTCTGCAGAACCTCGGTGCAGGAGCAAGAAGGACTGGCAACCACCCTGGGTCTAGCTCTGGGTCCTGCCCCAGCCCCAGGGAGGCTGGGCTCCAGAGCTGTCCCCTCCCCAGGCACGGTGTCACCCCAGAAGCCCCAGGTGTGACATTACCCTCCCCATTGTCTCATCCAGAACCTGGCCACGCTGAGCTGCGGGGACGCCTCCAGCCACAGGGTCATCCCAGCAGGAGCAGAACTGTGGGTGTATCAGCCTGAGCAGGGGCTGGGGGAGTCTCAGGCACCAGACACCCTCCTAGACCATCCCTGGAGGGCTTCCTGGCTGCAGTGCTGGTGGTGCTCCATGGTTTGGTGTCTCTGCAGGATGGATGCAGCCCCCAGGGCTGTGCAGGGAAAATGCAGCTGCACAGCAAGAACCAGCGGCTCCTGGAGGTGGTGGCCTGCATTGTCCTTGCCCGCTGCCACTGCCAAGCAAATGTCTTCTTCTACTTGCTCCCACCCCTCATCTTCCTCTTTGAAGAGCTCATCAGAGGATGAGGATGGTCCTGCATCTTGCTTGTGCTGCTCAGTAAGGAGCCCTGCCCTCACCAGTGCAGTGTTTTTGCTGTGCATGAATGGAAGGGTGGATGTGGGCACCCAGCCCAGCAGCAGCTCCGTACCTCTCTGGCTCCTCCATGTGCCCTCCCAGCTCCACTCCCTGCAATGCCAGTCCACATGCCCTGCAGCGTAGCACCCGTGGCAGGGAGCAGGTCCCTCCCCAGCCTGACACGCTCCTGGGCAGCATCCCCTGCCCAAAACAGGCACCCTACCCAGAGGTGGAAGGGAGAAGTCAGACCCCCTAGGGAGCCCATGCTGACGCCAGGGACAGGGTGGGGGGATCTGCCACCCCCCAGTGCGGGGGGTCCTATGGAGGCCCCATGGCCAGGCTCAGCTCCCAGGACTTTTTGTTGGATGGAGGTAGCATCCTGCTTTCCCCTGCCCACTGCCTCCCACCCAAGTCCATCCAGGACCCTGGTCCTGGGACAACCTGGGGACCTGGACCATCTTCTCAACCTCTGTGTTGCCGGATGGGACCTGGCACTGAAGAGGTCCTGCCTGGGGACAGTCTGAGTGGGCTTGACTCCAGAATCCATCCCTCCAGCCCCTCTGGGCTCTGCCCAACTCCATCCTGCTCCCCATGGGCAGCAGCAGAAGGAGAACCCCCAAAAGTAGCTGCTGCATGGGGCAGGTGGGTGGTCATGGAGGAAGAGACAAGGGAGTCCTGGGCAGGAGGTCCTGCTGAGGCACATGCTGGAGGGGCCAGGCAGCCCCCTGGGTGCAGGGGGGACTCTGTTCAGACTCCTGAGACCCCACAGTGGGACAGAGCCAGAAAGGGAGTCAAGGTAACATGGACAAAAGGCTGCTTATCCACTTTGATAGAACCCCATAATAAAAACCCCTGGTGGTGGTGGTGGGCAGCCATCCTGCTCCTGCAGCCTGGGGCCAGCCGGTAGCGATGGAGCACACGCACATGGCCGGGCGGCCCCGTGGGGACATTGTGATGTCACCGGTGAGGTTGGCCGTGGAAGGCGCCTCGCCCCAGCACCCCTATAAAGCAGGGCGCAGAGCTGTGACCCCCAGCAGACAGGACAGGGTGGCCGGAGCCCGCACTCCTCCAGCAGCAGCATGGCCCGCACCCAGCGCAGCAAGAGCAGCAGCAAGAGCCGCAGCAGGAGCCGCAGCATGAGTCGGAGCCGGCGCCGAGGCCGAGGCCAAAGCCGCTACCACAGTCGGCGTCAACGCCGCTCCAGGAGGAGCCAACGCCGCTCCAGGAGGGGCCGAAGCCGGCGTGGGAGCCGCCGGCGCCGTGGGAGCCGCCGTCGACGCCGCCGATGAGCTGGGCCCAGGACCGGATGCCAGTGGAGCCAGTGTCCCTGAGAGCCCCGGCCACCACCACCTCCATGCCACTGGCTCCATCAATAAAGCTGTAATGATCTCATGATGGGTGTGTGCGTTCCTGGTGTTCCTGTGCGCTGGCTGTGGGTCCCCTGGTGCTGTGTGCCATGGTTGTGCCTGTCCAGGAGCAGCACAGTTCTGCAGGGATGGAGGTGCCCCAGCCTGCCTGCTCCTGTGCTGGCTCTCACCCCTGTCTCTATCCCCCAGACCATATCCATGTCCACAGCTCATCCCCGTGTCCCCACACCATCTGCAGATCCAAGCCTGTCTCCATGTCCAAGCCCCATCCTCATTTCCCCAAACATTTCTACATCCCCAGCAATGTCATTGTCAAAGCCCATGTCTAGATCCCAGCTCGTCTCCATAGCCACCACCCATTTCCACATCCCCATCTCCTTGTCCCAATCCCATATCCATGTCCCAGCCCATCTCCATCTCCCCAGCCTGTCTCGATATCGCCAACCCATCACGGCGTGGTGAAAAGGCCCTTGCAGCTCTTGGCCCTGGCAGCCCCGCTGGGAGATGAGAGAAGAGGAGGCTGTGCTGGATGGAGGACAGCCTCATCTCCCTCCCAGGGAATGGTAAAGCTGCCCTTTCCCCAGGGAGCTGTTTCTTCAATGTGATGCACTTTGCAGAGAAGGAAAGAGGAGGACCAGAGCAGTCCCCAAGTTTGGACCACTCCTGAGGTGTGTGGAGCTAAAGGCAGCGCACAGACTGATGTGAGCAAGGCAGTTTGCCAGCAGGGCTTTGGAGAAGAGATAATGCCCCATCATCAGTTCAGCTGGACAAAGGAGGGAAAGGGCGTGCAACAGGAAGATGGGAATGGTCCTCAGCCAGCTTTCAATTTATTTATTTGCTTATTTATTCTTTTTAATAAATAAATAAAATGAACCCAGGAAGTTGGAATTTTTTCCCCATCTTTCACAAACAGAACCACAACAATGCCATGCCAGGAGAAGGCAGTGCACTCTGCAGTGTTTCACCAAGTGTGGCTTTGTCACCTTGAACACTTCCTAGAGGGTCTGCCGTTGCTTTTTGTTGCTTTGGGCTGATGCGATTCATTATCAATACATTTATGAGCTATTAAACATTACTGCAAATTTCCTATATCTTTACTAAAATTGTATTTGTTAAAAATGCTGACAGTCCCTGTTTCTCCTAAATTTCTCCCCAGTTTGCTCATGAGCCCTCCTGTGACAACTCACCCCGCTGCCCCCTGTTCTGCCACTACTTCTTGCCCTGCAGCCTGGATTTAGAATCACAATTTTATAGAAAGGTTAGAGTTGAAGGACACCTTTAAAGATCAACTAGTACCAAACCCCTGCCACCACAGAGACTCCTTCCACTAAACAGTTTGCTTAAAGCCCCATCCAACTTGCCCTTGGACACTTCCACGGATGAGGCATCCTCAACTTCTCAGGAAAACCTGTTCCAGTGCTTCACCACCCTCACAGCAAAGAATTTCTTCCTTCTGTCTAATTTAAATCTCCCTTCTTTCAGTTTAAAACCTCTACCCCTTGTCCTATAACAACGCTCCCTGGTAAAGAGTCCCTCCCCATCTCTCTTTTAGCCCCCTCTAGAAACTGCCAGGCTGCTATAAGGTCTTCCCTGTGCCTTCTCTTCTCCAGGCTGAACAACCCCAACTCTCTCAGCCTGTCTTCACAGGAGAGGTGTCCCAGACCTCTGATCATCTTGGTGGCCCTCCTCTGGACTCCCTCCAATGGGTCCTCATCTTTCCTATGTTGAGCAATCCAGAGTTGGATGCGGTACACCAGGTGTGGTCTCACCAGAGTGGAGTAGAGGAGTCAGAGGGTGATAGTGAGGTACTCAGGACTGACCCTCTCAAACTCCTGTCTGGAAGGCCATCTTCTAAATGGACCTTTTCTTAAGCTCTCTCAGGGCTTTACCTGCAGGGCATGAGAGCTGACAGGCAAAGACAATTCAAAAGCAACACCTGTGCCATCACAACGTCTGTAACAGTGAACAAAAGGATGCTTATCCACTTTGCCGAGGCCGCAGCCGAAGCCGCTACCACAGTCGGCGTCAACGCCGCTCCAGGAGGAGCCAACGCCGCTCCAGGAGGGGCCGAAGCCGGCGTGGGAGCCGCCGGCGCCGTGGGAGCCGCCGTCGACGCCGCTGCTGAGCTGGGCCCAGGACCGGACGCCAGTGGAGCCAGTGTCCCTGAGAGCCCCGGCCACCACCACCTCCATGCTGCTGCACCACCGCTCCTGGCTCCATCAATAAAGCTGTAATGATCTCATGATGGGCGTGGGTGTTCCTGGTGTTCCTGTGCGCTGGCTGTGGGTCCCCTGGTGTTGTGTGCCATAGTGGTGCATCTCACAGCCCGTCTACCTATCCCAGCCCCTCTTCCACCTCTCCAGCCCATGACTAGGTCTCCAGCCCATCTCCATGTCCATGCTCATAGGGTCGCAGAATCATAGGGTCGCCATGGAGCATGCACGTGGCCTGGCGGCCCTGTGGGGACATTGTGATGTCACCGGTGAGGTTGGCCGTGGAAGGCGCCTCGCCCCAGCACCCCTATAAAGCAGGACGCAGAGCTGTGACCCCCAGCAGACAGGACAGGGTGGCCAGAGCCCGCACTCATCCGGCAGCAGCATGGCCCGCACCCAGCGCAGCAAGAGCCGCAGCAGGAGCCGGAGACGGCGCCAAGGCCGAGGCCGCAGCCGAAGCCGCTACCACAGTCGGCGTCAACGCCGCTCCAGGAGGAGCCAACGCCGCTCCAGGAGGGGCCGAAGCCGGCGTGGGAGCCGCCGGCGCCGTGGGAGCCGCCGTCGACGCCGCTGCTGAGCTGGGCCCAGGACCGGACGCCAGTGGAGCCAGTGTCCCTGAGAGCCCCGGCCACCACCACCTCCATGCTGCTGCACCACCGCTCCTGGCTCCATCAATAAAGCTGTAATGATCTCATGATGGGCGTGGGTGTTCCTGGTGTTCCTGTGCGCTGGCTGTGGGTCCCCTGGTGTTGTGTGCCATAGTGGTGCATCTCACAGCCCGTCTACCTATCCCAGCCCCTCTTCCACCTCTCCAGCCCATGACTAGGTCTCCAGCCCATCTCCATGTCCATGCTCATAGGGTCGCAGAATCATAGGGTCATATAGGATCATGGAATGGTTTGGGTTGGAAGGGATCTTTAAAGATCAACTAGTTCTAACCCCCCTGCCACCAGCAGACACTCCTTCCACCAGCACTAGATCAGGTTGCTCAAAGCCCCATCTGACCTGGCCTTGAACTCTCCCAGTGATGGGCCATCCAAAACTTGAGAAAGTCTTTTCCCATCCCTCAGCACCCTCAGAGTGAAGAATTTCTTCCTTCTGTCTAATCTAAATCTACCTACTTTCAGTTTAAATCCAATTCTCCCTTGTCTTACCACTACCTGCCCTTGTCAATTGTCCCTCACTGGCTTTCATCTAGGTCCCTGTTAGGTACTTCAATGCGCAATCATTGAGCATGATCATCCCACTAGTTTCTCATCCAAGTTGTCCTTCCGTCATATCCATGCCTCTCTACTCCAGAGACAAGGATGTTTTTAGGGACTGCATCCCATGCTTTACACAAGTCCAGATAGATGATGTTAGTTGTTTTTCCCTTATCCACAAACACTGTAACCCTGTTGAAGGCAGCCACCACATTTGTCTGGCACAATTTGCCTGTAGCGAAGACATTACAGCTCAGCCTGATACCTGTATCTCCTTGTCTGTTTTTCAGCACACTCCACCTGAAGGTGGTGTGTTCCCAGGCATTTCTTGCTCAGCCCCTTCCTTCTGAAAGAGGAGATCAATTTTGGTGTAAGCTTGTTCAAATTAATATCTGCCCAGGCATTTGCTTCTGACAGTTAGTAGGCTGAACTACCTGTGGCAGGCCTAGCTCAAAGGCAGAAGAGGAACCTCTCAGCTCTAGGACAGATGGATGCCTCCGGGGAAGCCATGGCATGGAAGCCAAGCCATGTCCCCCCTGGGATGAGTCCAGGGGGGCTTCTTGGTCCCTAACATGGAGCAGCTCATGGGCAGAGCTGCATCCTGCCCTGCCCTGCTTCCCTCTGCTATCCCCCTTCCCTCTCCTGGCACTCACCCCTCTGCAGCACCCAGGCTTGGTCCGCAGCTGGGGCTCACAGGGGTGAGATGTGATTAAATCCCACCATCAGATGCTCCCTGCTTCTCTCTGCACCACTCCAAGGGTGCCAGATGAGGCTGTGCCCGGGAGGGTGCAGGGTGGGTGCTCCCCAGCCCCCCTACACTACGCACGCCATGCAGCCCACGCACCATACTCTCCCGGACACAGGGGCTCCAGGGGAGTCACCTTGAAGTGCAGCCCCCTCCCCACTTTGTTGCTGTTAATCTCCCAGCCAAACAATGCGGCATCCTGACAGCCCTCGCTAATTGGCGTAAATTAATTTACCCTGGGTGCAGCTTTTCAGCACCTGGCTCATTTCCTTGCATGAGAGATGAGGGTGCAGCTCCCGAAAGCCTCTGTCTCTTGAATTATTTAGATTCCAGGCTATAAGGGAGCCTGAAGGTTTGGGGGGTCTGGGCAGTGATGCTGAGAGGCTGGCAGGGGTGTTGGGGTCTGCAAGCTGGGGAGTATCAGATCTCTCCCCCTTGGTTTGTTCACCATCCCAAGAGATGCCGAGGGGAGGCGGGTGGGTGTGCGCTCAGCCAGAGGCTGGGGGCTCTTGGGGACCAAGGGATGGGCTGCACCAGGGTGGCTCAGCCGCAGGCACAGGGCACCCTGAGGATGGAGGGTTTTTGGGGGTGAGGGTGATGTCGCAAGAAGAAAGTTAAAAGTTTATCAAGAGGTTCCGGTTGGGACATGTTTGAGCCATCTCAGAAGGTACCTGACCTTGGATAGGATATGAAATGAAACAGTGTATCCTATGTGTTCTGTTGGCATTGCTGAATTACACACAAGATACCAAACAGTAAAACATCTAGAACAAAGTTGAGCCAAGAGTGTAACCGAAACTGACATTGGGTCATAACAAAGTTAAAATAT